TTCCTCGAAAAATGAATAGATGATCGTATGTTCGTTGAATAATTAATTAATTAATTAATTGAATAAGTAAAAGCTTGACACACGTTGTTCTTGTATGCCTTCCATTCGAATTTCCATACTCAAAACTTGTACGTTGCCTCTCTGCTGTGAATCACACTTATAGTGAATTTATTTCCTAGACTAATGAAGCGTTTTAGTGTGAAGGAATGACTTTGTGTTCGCCCTGTTGCTCTCGGCGACGTGCGTCAAGCTTGTGACTTTTGGTTCCCAAATACTGCCGCAATTATGTCCAGTTCGCCAATTATTCTGGTGAGTGCAAGCGTTTCCCTAAAGACACCATAGCCTTGATCGCCATGGGTAGTTATGGTTAGGAGGACTTTGAAAATCGGATTCAGTGTTTTGTGGAAATTATCGCAGATATTTCGTTCCTTTTTCTGGATTCTTTGAAATATCACTCACACTGATCCCCTTAATAAGTATCAAAACAAACACGCAACCTGAATTCTCACTGATAAGATGATATTGTGCTGATACTTTCGAAGAACCGGTCTTTGAAAATTTCATTCAGATTTTGATACTTTTCACTTTTTAGTTTGGTTATCGACAATTGAATTACTGTACTGAGATACTCAAGCCGATTGATAAAGTCGAGTGCAACACCGTAAACGATGATCAATTTTCAATCATGCAATTTAGCTCACTGAAAAAAAAACTGAGCGAAGTTCGCGTTTTTCTTGGCTACATTTTCCATCAGTCAACCGTGGTTATTGGGTTGTCGTATGAAAATGATACACAATCAATGGTCCCATTGTGATCCCAGTCATCAGAGTATGCCCCCGTCGATTGGTGATTAAGCCAATCAGATAAGGGATGAATAGCATTATTTCAGTATCCTATTCGTTGGGAAGGTATTTTCATTCGTGCATAGAAAGCCAGTGCAAATCCGCCTTGTGTTCACAATTACTGAGAAGGGTGACCATTGATGTACTCAGAATAGACACGCATGGCCGTTTGCTGGCATCGATTTTCACCTGGCGTAACTTATACGTATCAACTGAGCTGTGAAAACGTGGAAACAAATCAGACACACGCAGGTGGAAGTCATACCATCCATTTTGATTCACTTCATAGGACTGTGAAAGTCTGTGATGACTAACAAAGAGCACTGGACAACTGTTTGGTCCTGTTGGGGACTCATTGGCATTGACTCATGGCATGTAAGAATATTAAAGCAGCAAGCATTATTTTACCAAACGTTTATAAATTTTATGACAATCAAAATGATTGAGGTAAAGAGATACAATTGTTTAGTTTTCTCATATTTTATTATAAAACAAACACATATAGACGTACACACAAAGAGAGGGGAAAAGACAAGTATACAAATAAAATCTATGGATAAGGGAACAGTTGTCCTGTTGAACCAATGAATGGAACCAATGGGAATGAACTTATGATGATCTTTGGTCAATCAGCCGGTCACTCGATCGACCGAGTTTGAGGTGAATCGATCAAGTGCAGTCGGTTTCAACAATGCGATAGGCGAAACGGATACTGTTTCGCAAAACACTAGGGATTGAGCAGTACGTGGTACTGTTTCACTGCCTCAACTGATGACAATGTTAGAGGCAAACGCATCATTGAATGGGGGATATCACACAGCCTTTTTATTATTAATATGCAATGTGGCCAATATCAATCTGCGGGGAAAACAGGGAGGGGGGCTGAAGTGACTGATTAGCTGATAAAAGATGAATAACAGTTCAGTGGAATGCTTCAACCGAAATGAAGTTACAGTTGTGTCCCGAATACGTTTAAATTGGCAATAAATTGTGGATCCTGTGGGGGAAAGAGAGGGCAAAAACGGATTAGTAATTGTGCTCAAT